TTAGGGAGAATTATGGGAGACGTAGTTTATTAACCTCTGTACACATGAATTTGTGCGGAAATGTTGGATTAAACTCAATGTTTTAAATGCAACATTAATTGATTATTATTATAATAATTATTCTTAGTATTAATCAGACACAGTGCACACATGGTGATGTGTGTATTTCTGAGTACAGTGGAAACAGAAACCACTCAAACACAACTCAATGGTTCTAGATACGTTTTTATTCGCTCATTTCAGGGAGAAATCTCATTCACTCACTCCTTCACTCACTCCTCCTTTCTTTCAGGGTCTCTTTTAGTTCCTTCTCCACAGTCTTCTCCAGAAGCTCCTCTTTCCTGAGCTCCTTTCCTCCTGCAGCTCCTTCATCTGCTTTTCAGCTCCTCATCCTTCTTTTTCTGCTCCTTCTTCCTTTCTTTCTCCTCTACTTTCCTTTCTTTCTCCCTTTCACGCTCCAAATTCCTCACCCTCTTCTCCTCCTCCTTCATCTGCTTTTTCAGCTCCTTATCCTTCTTTTTCTGCTCCTTCTTCCTTTTTTTCAGTTCTTTCTTATCTCCTCTCTTTTCTATTCTATCGTCCCTTTCTCTCTCTACATCCCTCACATTCTGCCCCATCGAGGCCAAGGAGCTGCAGATTAACAGCATGAACTCCTTTGTTATCTTCATCATCTCCTCCTTTTCTGTTACCCACCTCTCTCGTTCCTCCTTCATCTCCATCTCCATCCTGGAGAGTCTCTCTTTCAGCTGGAGGTTTTCACTCTCCACATCCCTCACCTGTTGCTCCATCATGGCCCTGTTGATGGACATTTCCTCCAGGTGTTCCTCTGATCTCCTCATTACCTCCTGCTTTTCTGCTTTCCACCTCTCTCGTTCCTCCTTCATCTCCATCTCCATCCTGAACAGTCTGTCTTTCAGCTGACTGTTTTCTCTCTCCAGGTCCTGGTAGTTTGTCAGGTGGTCGTCTCCTGCTCCCAGTCCTGTCTCCTCGTGCTTCTTTCCCTGCGCTGCTGTCAGCTCCTCCAGCAGTACCAGCAGGTAGTGTTGCACAGTCATGTTCTGCTCTATCTCCACAATTTGATTGGTCTCGAGCTGCTCTCTCACTTGGGACACTTCTTCCTGGACTTTCTCCAGTTTATCCAGGGCTTGACTGTACACATGAGCTGTGTTCTGTAGTGCGTCACCAACAGCAGCTTTTAGGTCTTTAATAGAACTGTCCATTTTTCAGGACACTGCACTGAAAACCGTTCGATAAACTGGTTCCAGTAAATCAATGAACAAATTGCTTTCAGTTCTCACAGAGATCTGAACACAAACCACACGGCGCACTGCTGAAGTGCAATAGTGGAAAGTGGAGGTTTTACACCCATATATATATATATAGTTTTTCAGGGCGGCACTATGACGTCACACGATGACGGCACAATCCCATCGATGACGTCATCAATATATAACGTGACTCGAAAAAAATTCCATGAGTAATTCCAGCCAGTACACGATGGGGTCCTGCTGTAGGCCCGTGCGTGGAGTTAATTTTGTGCCAACGGTTTTAAAATAAAATAATAAAACCCACTAGAAAAGCGTTCAGCTCGTAAATGTAAACACAAGGTCGCAAATTTAAATAATAATAAGAACTGAATAAAACTCAGTTTCTCGAAAGAGATCCGGTGCAGTTCCTCGGTCAAACGCTAGATGGCTTCCTGCATTAACAGCGCTGGGAGAGTTCAGTTCATTTAACTGATTCGGTTCGTACGAACGAACTGTTCGGATCAATGAATGGAACATCTGGTGATTGAGTTTCCTCCAAGGGGCCGAGTCTCTGTACTGTTTGCTGATACAGCCCCTGTCAACTTTATGAGAAACCCCTGCGTCCGCCCACTGCTCGCTGTACTGCAGTGGGGAACCTCAAAGAGCTCCAGGTCTAATGATTTATGTGAAATAATAAAAATAAATCACCATTCTGTCACTTGTAGTTTATTTTTTATTCAGTTTTACTCGTTGAGTTCAGATTCTGCACATATTGCTCGTGTTTCGTTGTTAAGTTTTGGCTGGAAACGAGAGCTAAAAGGGGGAAAACTGTCCAATGAGGATGTTTTTCTCTGCGGTATCTGGGTAGAAACAGTCGGGGGCGTCGCTGGGCCAGATTTAGGGGGGTTAACTGCCTCAGCTGTGCCTACAGAGATTTTCTAACTCCATAAAAAAGAGGAGACGACAGTCTGGCTGTTCAGTGGCAGAGCACGGGGGGAAAAGTCTAACGCCCGGATCAGCCAATCAGATCAGACCTCCTCAGTCGTAAGCCAATCATATCAGACCTGGGGGAGGGGCTCTGGCGCTACTCGCTCAGCAAAATATCGACAGTCAAAACCGCTGAAGGCCTGACAAAGTTTTGGCTAAAAGCTCACAGAAATAAATATTAGGCCTCTTTTAAAATGTATGATATACAGAGTGAAGCGGGTAGTTACAGGGTGAGGACACTTTTTAACCCTTTAGTGATTTCTAGTTCATTTTTATTCAGTTCAATCATCACACTTGTTGCATTCAGATAACGTATTGTAGTAATGCTCGAGTTTCAGTGTTAGAGTTAGTTATTCATTCAGCCTAATGAGAAACTGTAGAACAGACTCAGTTTATATCACAATACCTACATTTAGAGTCTGTTATTCATTCAGCCTAATGGGAAACTGTAGAACAGACTCAGTTTATATCACAAAACCTACATTTAGAGTCAGTTATTCATTCAGCCTAATGAGAAACTGTAGAACAGACTCAGTTTATATCACAAAACCTACATTTAGAGTCAGTTATTCATTCACCCAAATGAGAAACTGTAGAACAGACTCAGTTTATATCACAATACCTACATTTAGAGTCAGTTATTCATTCAGGCTAAAGCTACTGGGTGCTGATTGGTTAGCATTACTGCTACAGGGTGCTGATTGGTTAGCATTACTGCTACTGGGTGCTGATTGGTTGGCATTACTGCTACAGGGTTCTGATTGGTTGGCATTACTACTGCTGAGTGATGATTGGTTAGCATTACTGCTACCGATTGCTGGTTCTTTAGCATTACTGCTACTGGATTGGTTGGCTAGCTGATATTGGTGAAGCGGTTTGCTCTCACTGATGTCATGAACAGACATGAGACGCTGTTATAAAGTCCTATAACTGGAGTTTGTTTATATTTTGTAATATATTTTATAAAAATATAACAGCAGTGTTAAAATGTTTTATGCTGTTCTTTTGTTTAGTGCAATTTACAAACTATGATTTTGTGCAGAAGCTCCACAGGAACCCATTCATTTTGGACTTGCTCGGGAGCGCCCTCTAGTGTCTGACAAACCCAGACAGTCCTTATTGGGTGACAGTCCTCCTCACTACACATTCGGTCCTTGCAACTTCAGCCAAAACTTACGACAATAGTTTTTTGCAGCTCTATAATGGCAGAAAAACATAAAATCCTCTCATGTTATGATTTCGATGAAAAAATAAAATGTACAAAGTTCCTTTATCAGTAGGTTATGGGGCGTCAAACGTACACAACTTCTGACATACAGAAAATTAGAAATGAGTCATGTCAAATACAACCTTTTTTTTATAAATAAACCAAAAAAGTATTTTTTTATCACTAAAAGTCATTTTGAAGTAAAAACGCTGTTCAGCAACAAAAAGCACAATACATTTTCATTTTATTGCTTCAAGTTTGTGCAGAATGCTAATAGCTATTGTAACACTTGTAACTTTTCTAGCACCAGTGCTACCTGCTCAAAAAGGTTTTGTACAGCATGGACAGTAAAACTCATCCAAAAGAATGAAATCTTTTGTAATCTCAACATATGTCTATCTGTGGAAGCTACTCTTTTAGGGGTTGTTTCCATGTGATTGGATGAAATAACTCTAATCACATTACTGTATACCTTCATCACATTCATTAAAATGAGAGATGACAACACAGTTTACACTTCTGACTCAGTAGCTTGTTCATTAAATACCCCTGATTACTTAATTTGGTGTGTAAATCTTCAGCTTGGTGGAAGATCATGGTGGCTAATGCTACAGTCAGGGCCAATGAAGTGCTTCCTTTGAAGCTACTGCTTTAACTACATTTCCCAGTAACTCAGCTTTTTTACAAATCAAGCAGCTTTTCAAGCTGTAAGTGAGCTAGTTTTGACATGGATATGGATGGATGTTTTGGACTATTACATCCAACATTTCAGAAATCATGTCCTGAATGAACAGGGGTCTGGCAGTCTTCTCCATCTCCATCTTTTTACTCTGCACTGCTTATCAGTGTCGACTGATTGAGCTCCAAAGCAACAGGTAAAGGAAGTCGTTGAATTATTTTGTTCAAATTGTACGCTTACGATGGACTGGGGGTGAAGCACTTTAAAGGTTGTACAAACAAAGTTGCATATTCCTTGTATTTGAAGCTTTGTTTCAAATGTTCCAAATGATTTAACGACAATAAAAAACAAATAAACACAGTTTTTACAGACTACAGTCTGCCGCACTGATGACGTCACTACCACACGTCCTACAGAGCGGCGCCAGCATCATTTCACAGGTTTTGTACATCGTTTTAATCTGTGCAGTGGCTTAGCAGTGTGTTTTATTACTGTATTGATAGGGGTGGGCAATATGATGACCATTAATCGTTATCGTGATCATTTTTTGTTCTGATAAACAGTACAGTTTCTGAGCCTATTGTAGACATTGTCAGTACTTAAAGAGCACTGACCACCTGCAAAGGAGAGCATAAGTGAAATTAGTGAAATTAGTTAAATTAGTCCAGTTTAAATCCAATTAAACTGTACTAATTTCACTGTATTCATAGTTTCACTGTATTCATAGTTTTGATAGCAGTTATAAATGTGACTATTTTGTATTAAATGTGACAATATTTAGTCTGTACAAATTTCTATAAGTATCGTGATGTACAGTTTTTTCCATATCGCCCACCTCTAATTCATAGCTACTGTGCAAAATGACACAAGGGTCGCAAAAAGACGTTCACAAACAGTTTTTAGCTTTAAGTGATTTCTAGACCAAAACCCACTGGTGATTCAAAATGTTTTGACCACAACCAGCAGAAGGTGTAGGTCTGCACGTTTGCTCCCCACAGAGGGCACTGCTTTCTCCCAGGGAGCTTAATCCACTGGAGTCAAGACTATCACACAAAGATTTCAAAAATATATTGGTGTTTGTCTGGGGAACTGTTCTGTCCCATAAGTCCACAGGACTAAATTTAAGGGGCGCAACGGGACGTGTGCCCTTTAATTTTGCTCTTAGCACATCTACAATATTTTGCTATCAATGCATCTAGATTTTGTTTCTTAAGAAGACTGGGTGCAAAGCATGTCGTGATGCATGAATCACAATCAATGCCAGTTTCATGCTGTAAGATTCCATTTGTGTCTCTCAAATGGATCTCAAACCCCAACATGTCTTCATGTAGGTGATCCGGATACAAGAAGTGTCATTATTTCTCAACACCTATAAAACAGAAAAATACATTACACATCCTTTTACTTTTTTTAAACAGTTAACATGTCAACAATGTCATTCAGAGTGGTTTGGTGTGAAATGCTCCATTCTAGCGTCAGAATTGTTCACAGTGGTGTTGATAGGAACCAGACATTCACTCAGTAAAGGTTATTACTTGAAGTGGTTATGAATATGTTGTCTGATGTCTTAATCATTGTTTTATGATAGTTTTGGCCTTAAATGACATGAAGTACATTCAGGTTGTTGTGAGGCAAAAAATCCTCAAAGAAAATGAATTTTATCAGATTTTCCACTACTTTGCCATCTTCAACATTACATATAAAAACTCAGAAGGCACGTGTAGGTGGTTCTGGATAGTAAATAAAAAGGCTGTATTTGTGTTGTAGACACTGTGGACCCTGGTTCCTATCACCACCACTGTAAAGAGATTTGACTCTGCAAATTCTCTACAAATGAACCATTTCACATCAAATCACTCTCAATGACTGTTTACATCTCAATGTCCGAATTGTGAAAAAAAAAATAAATCGGTGGAATTTCCCTTTGGGTGAGTTGAGTGCTGTGTTTAAACATGAATTATTTTTTTTACTTTCAGCTTCTTATCAGTACAAAGAACGTGAGCTACATCTTACCTCCTAAGACCCCAATTCCTGAGGAGCAGGAGCAGGAGCAGGAGCAGGAGTAGGATCAGCTTCTGTAGACTGCAGAGACCGCAGTTCACAATTGCGTATCATTGTGTTCTAGAAGGAAAGACAAGAAATTTGGTATGTGCTGTTATAAAATATTATTCTAGTATTTGCAAATAAAGGTTTGAGATGTAGCAACTGCATCACGCAAACAAATCTAAACTTAAAGGGCCAATTTCGTCAATTCTTCTTACTTTTATGAGTGAGGTACACTTGTAACATTTATGGGGTTTTGTGTACCAAAAATAGTCATAATATTTTTGTTACTGTGAGCTAAATGAGCTAAATGATTGGTTGTACTGTATTAGGCACTCGGAAAGTCAGCTTCTGGGGCTAAACTTAGGGCTGAATGATTTAGACAGAGTACCCAATAGTGATTTTTCTGGCCAGTACTACGACTGCGATTTGATTTGCACTTGTTTTCTCTAAATTGAGCTCCATGCCTTCTTTGCCAAGAAGACCAAGATTTTCACTTTTTCTGGCTTGTTGGTTGTGATGTTACAACACACGGGTGTTTGTTTCTTCTGATTGGTCTAACACATCTACAAGCAGTTCACAAGCTCAGTGTTATTAGGCTGAATTTCCCCACTTAAAACTTGATAACGTAAACTATAATTAAAAATGCGGCTCTCACAATTAGAAAATTGCACTCTTTCAAATTGTGATTTCGACATACAAATGATTCATTTTTCAGCCCTAGATAAACTGCTGTAGGCTCAATAGGTGGATATAAGTAAATTAGCAGGTTTGCCTGACATCACAGAAACAATCGATCCCCAATAGTTCCTCTAGTTAGTTTCCCTTAGTTTCCATTTCTTGGCAGTAAATGGCAGATTTAGAAACAATGTTTACATATTATTTCAAACTCTGTTGTTTAAAAAAATAAATTCAGTTTTCAGTGAAATAGGCCTTTTAATTGAGCAATAAATAAATAGCTTTTTTACATGCTAACTACAATTTCATATTTTGGCTCTCTGTTCAACTCATAAGACACGGAATACATATAAAACTAATGTGAATATAGTAGTAAAAAAGTTCATCTTCAGTAAACTGGCTGCTGAGCCTTCCATGCCAGAAAAAAATCAATCTACAGCTGGTAAGTTATATAAGTTTGTACGTCTATTTGTTTTACATCTGTTTTTTTTTTTCAAGGAAATTTGTATTTATTGCTTTTTATAAGCTTAAGATGACATACTCACCACTGGACACGTGCACAATCGACGTAAGCCCTCTATGTCATCCATAAAACTGTGACAGCGAAAGATAATGATAATGAATATCTTCTGTAAATACATATATGTGACCATATTTTGATCAAATCCAAACTTACTTTTCTCTGAATGTCCTCCCTGTGTAAAAACAAAAGGGACAGTGAGGTGAATTATAAACTGATCATGTTCCGTGCATGTTCTAGCAGTAAATTCATTAGTCTATTCTAAAAGGGTTATATCGTACTTAAGGGCTATGGAAGAAAGAAAAAAAAAAAGGAATTGCATTGCTAATTAAATTCCACTATGTGGAATTTTTCTGCCTGTATAACATATCAAATATCAATTTATAGTTATAAATTCACGATCAAGTATTTGTTGTCATTTCCATTGCTAAGTGAATCGTACCACGTAGAAGTACCTGTGATGCATTTGGTCATTCTTATTGTTATTGTGAAAAGCATGTAGAGCCAGAAATCATTGGTGGAGCTAGAAATACTGCAGACCACTGGTCAAGCACAATCGTCACAGAGTCAGTTATGTCGTCACAAGTCAGACATCTGCCACTTTAAAAAGAAACACCAGCCTACTAGAATCACTGTCTGTGACAGTTACGACTGGATAATCTCTACTAGTGTTTACTCTTAACAGTAAACACAAACAACAGTGTTGCGTGACAACCACACAACCTCCAGAGACCCTCGTCTAATTTCATGTTTCTGTACTGTGATGGTAAACGGACACAGGTACCTGAGCAGGGTTAGATAGCTCTGGGTGTTTGTTACTGCCAGTGAAAAAAACATGCTAATGATGATATGCAGCAGAGCTCCCTAAGACGTGGCCCCATGTACTGATTGTTTAGAGCACAAACTGTGTCATGTTGGTATATTTGCTGTACTTACAGAAAGCAGATATTTGGAGAGCAAAACAGCACAAAGCGAAGACACATTCAGAGGGTATGAGAATGACTCGCAGATCCATTGTACGCTCGCCATTTCCTAATGGAACATAAGAATGAAGAAGAACAAAGGATCAATAAGACTTTTACTCCTAAAACCTCTTTTAGGAGACACCAGGGCTGCAGTAGTTCCACAGGATTCACTGGACCCACCACAATACATTGCAGTGCTGGGCTAATTTTTTTTTTGTGGTTAGCCAGGTTAGCCAGCCCAGAGTGGGTGGGGGCAGGACAACACCTAATAGCCTAATAAATGACTAAATGAATTAAATCACAGAATAGCCTAAATTAAATGATCAGTTAATAATTAGAATATATAAATAATATCTAACAGCAGAAGAACAAAAAGTTATAAACTCATTCTGAATAGTTGTGAAGCAACCAATCACATGAACGTCATTCAATTTACATTCTTACAGACTAACGGCTAAGCCCTCCGACAGCCACAGCTGTGCAAAGTGTTCTTAATGAAGGCGAATACATGATAAAATAGACTAAAAGCAAGCCTGATGTGTGGCAGTCATTTTCAGTCGCGACTAACGCAGATGGAGGTCAGCTATACAGGACTGTGGGAGGGGATGGGACAAAACATTTAAGTTGCGGGCAGGGGCAGGTCAAAAGATTTAAGCTGTGGGTGGGAGCGGGACAAACAAAGCAGATTTTCTGTGGAAGGGGGGCTAAAAAAAGGTACCACACAGATCTCTGTCTCTAAGGATATTTATTCAGCCTTTTTCTTGTGAAAGTTGGCACTACATCATGGTTTTGTGCAGTTTCAATCATGACTACAACTAAACAATTAATACTTTCTTTGTAGATATTCAGTTGATCCAATTCACATCACACTGTGTCTCAATCCTTTGCATTATCCGTAATAGTATCTTGGTCAGATTAAGCCAGCCCAATATGGGCTCCTCTGACAGACTGTAGCACTGCTATACTGCAAGTCTGAACACACAACAGGCTACCTGTGCTTTAAGTCTCATACTCCCCACTGAGAGTAATTAGAGTAATAGAGGAGAATACTTCACTGGCTTTTTCAGGCTGTCCATTTTCTCCTTATAGACTCTGTTAGAATTCTAGTACTATTTTTGTTATGGTGCAATTGGAAACAAGGTTGTTTTTGTGTTGTTTTCAACAATTAAAAATACAATGGGGCAAAATATACTTGAGTAATCATCATTACTGGATGGATATTAGTGGCAAATAGTACTATGTTACATACTGTATGCTTTTGTTGCAATGCCTCTATTATAAGGCAAACACAGTGATAGCAATGCAGTGATAGCAAGGTTAAGGTTTGTGTTGTTAAAAGGTTTGCATTTGACAATTTGCAGTGCAATGACATTTATTTTTGAACTAAATACTTTTTCTGTAATGAATTTGAGCAAAACTGTCACACATCTGTGCTCCCAACAAATTATGATGATTTCATTTTTCAACATTTTTTAAAATGTATTTTTTACTTGCTGTTCTTTGTGATATTGCAAGTAAAATCATTGGCAGCCAGCATATATTTAACAAAAACAATCACTCAAAGGCTAAAATCCAAACCTTCTATACATATTCTGTAAATTTGGTTATTATTTATCATTATGTTGTATTACGACACTTTTCGGGTGAAATGACACTTTGTAGCTCAGTATGTTTATCACAGTGACATAATGCTAATAATATGACAGACTGCACAGTCAGGCTGGTTGAACACAAGTAAGTTAAAGTGAGTTTAATTTCACCAGTTAAAAGATTTAAGCTGTCACATCATCAGTCTATGTCACTGTGACATAAACTAAGCTACAGAGTGAACTCTTATAGTGGGCTGTCATTTGTGTCATGACAACCTAATGTCAGAAAAAAAAAAATAGCGTCACCTGACAGGTGTTTTGTCAACATTTAAGCTGACAAAGGCAGCCTTTATGACAGACGTCACCTCTTGAAATAAGTCTTAGTAAATGTTTAAGCAGGTTTAAGTCAGCTGGTCTGACAATCTTATGTAGATGCCTTACACCCTGCAGTAAAGTCTTTCCAAATGTACTAGCTGTGCATTTCACAATTATCATCATTGTCAGTGGCGTGGAACCGACAGTGTAGAGCTCACTTACGTGCTTTTAGGATCAGTTCTACAACCAGTGCAACAGAATTCACAAAAATGAGACCCACTGCACCAAGCATGTAGACGCTGGCATGTAATAGACCTGTAATAAATAAGAAAAAAGATCTCATGTTCACATTAACTTGGGGGAGACCATCACATCACAGCTCACCAAACATATACTGAACAATCCTGTGTGACTCTCATGGTGCTCTGAATATTTTGCTTGATTTCGTACAGAGTGACCACTTTCTCACTAATGTTGTTCTACTCCTAAAATATGACCATAAAACCAAAAAATATCTAAATGAAGTTTGGAATGACTTTGCATTGGATGGTTTCTCTCCAGAGTGTTGGATGCAAATCAAACTGCAATCAAAATTCAAGAGAAACCTGACTTGAACCTGACCATGAGTAACTGGAGACTGAACAAAATGTGGAGTTTTATTCAGTCTCCCGTTGTGGTGGTCAGGTTCAAGGCTCTAGGATATTTCATAATTTGTTTCATATTTGCTTCAAACATTTTCTTAGTGCATAGTGGACTTACTCGTTGATTGTGGTCTCTTGGGGCTGTCAGAATTAGACCCTGTGTAGAGGCGGGCTGCATGAAGAAAAAGAAGTGGGGTTAGATGCAAGTGTTTACTAGCCTCTGATGGAGACATCCAGACAGTTAGAGTTGTTTTATTTTTTTAAACTCCATGATGTCTCAATGAATACATTTACTGCTTTCTTTTATTTACATTGATTTGCCTCAAGTGCATCTAATTCACATTTTGTTTGTAGCTTCTTAATATTACTGTGAAATGTAATGTGGAAGATTGTAATCATCTCAAATAATTACGATTAGACCAGGGTTTTTCAACCTGTGCAGACCACCAATGGGCCGCGGAGCACTCTCTAGTGGTCAAGCGGGCCTGAACTTGAGGGGAGGCAGTAGTTCGTAGTGGGCTGGTAGAGACGTATAAACAAAAACACTGCAACATTTTTTTTTAAACATAATAGCAAATTCTGGTTGCTGTGATTGAAGTGAAAAGGATGGTCTGATCTTTTTCAGGCCCTAATTCACAGGTTTTCATTGTGAGCAATTAAGAAAAAAGGGCCTTGGGGTGAAAAAGGTTGAGAAAAGGTTGAGAACCCCTGGATTAGACCATTATTTAATGACTGTCCAGGCCTAGAAGTAATCAGTGAATACTGTACCACAAAAACTGAACAGATATTCAAGGAGTAGCATCAAAGTCAAAATGTAGAGGTATGCAGCTACACAGGTCCGCACTGCACGTTCTGCAAAAAGGAACATGGTTTTAAAACTGTTTCAGTCATTACAATCATCCAGAATAGTGCATCATACAGCAAATGCTACTAATAAAACGTGACAGGTTGATCATCTGTGGCATTTTTATTACTTGTACAGAATGACCAAGCAAAGAGAGAAAACACATGCGAGTCCAGTTCTGTCCAGACCCCTACTGACTGCTTGAACTTTGTCATGGTACAGATCATTAACAAAAAAAAAAATACATGTGCAGGAATTTTTATCAGGCACAACAAGAAGTATTAAGGACTTAAGGTAAAAATTATGTTCTCCTAAACCTGCTGGTGCAGTATGTAAATCTCAAAACATACCGTTCAGCTTCTCCGTTGTTTCAGTCCATTTGTTCAAAGCTGCAAAAACAGATGGTTTTAAATTCAGTGTTTTTGTGAAGTGACACCAACACGTTTGCATATATCTGACATACATCTAAACAATAATTTATCTCCGCCCATTCGTGCTTGAGTTACAAGGAGTGTTTTAGGCTGGACTACTTACTGTAACGAGAACAGAGCTCATTTACATATATCAATCTTTAAGGCACAGTAACAAATAAAAGCCTGTTTAATCCTAATTCTATAGAGAGGATTGAAATGGTCATGTAAAAGAAGAATTATAGCCAGTTAAATTCCTGTAAAAGAGCCACCAAACCTATTAAACCACATTCAGTGAACACTTTTACACCTTGCTTGCCAACTAGCTTAGCATTCATGCTAGCATTTAATTTGTAGTGACATAAAATGACATACTGCATTTTGGCACATGCACAAAAACACAAATGTATACATTCACTCAGAATTATATGTAGACAAATCCTACATATTTATTGTGTGACAATGCAAGCAAAAAACAGTAGGAGAGTGGGGCACAGCCTAATGCGTTTTGCTAAATAATTTTTAAAAATGTCTGAGGAAGAATTTGTTTATACAAGCAACCTACATCATAGTCTGTTATAGTTTGCAGATGATATTGTTTTGAGAATATTAGAACAATCTACTTGAACAAGTTTAACTACATGAAACGTCCTTTACATTTTACCCTGCTTTAGTCTGTGCCCTGTTCTCTCCTAATGTGAGTGTGTTATAGTACTCATCATCAGCAGGCCCATGTTCGGGTTATCCAAGTAAAAAGCGTCATCCCCATAGCAGCCATGAAGTAAGACTGCTACTTACCGTCGTTAGATTCCAGTATAACATTATGAATGTAGACTGACAGTGATGCGTTTAGAACCTCCAAGATTAACAGCAATAACATCCAGATCAAAACTGCAAAAGACAAAGATGATTTTAGAGGTTTTCATTTGGTACATTTGGTACTTAAAAGGGCTAATTTTCCTCAACAAAGTCTGAAAAATACCTATATTACATTTCCTGAACATTCAATTGTTCTATTCATTGATGCACTTAAATTTCAACCAAATACATACATGTTAAAATAATTCATTACTAATTAAGCATTAATCGCTGAACAGCAGCCATTTCTATAGTAGTGTGAATCAGGCCACTAACAGAGCTCTACGCGATATTTACCTTACAGCTTAGAGCACTCTGACATTTCATGAGTTTGCTGTTTTCATGACATTTCATGAGTTTCATGAGTTTTTGTGTTTGGAACTAGAATTTCTCATAGTTTATAATCTCAGACATTCTTTAAGTAAGCAGAAGACTGTAAACTCTAAATGGTGCGGATTTATACTTACACAGTGATCGCCATGTCCTGATGCCGTAAGAATGGGATAAAACTGCTTTTAGGCTTGAGTAAAAAAAGAACACACAAGTAAAATTAGATGAAAGTGTTTTTATAGTCTTTGATACTGACATTAACACTCTGGTTACTGCTATGCAAAGCAAAATACATCAATATTTCAACCTAAATTACAGGGGTGTAAATGGAATTTGCCATTTGACATCATAAAAATTTTATAATGTCAAATTGCATTACCATAATTAATAATTACCATACTTAGTAATTGCCATAGCAAATTATTAATCTTCAAAGACGATCATAACAGCTTTTAGTTTGTTTATGAAAATTTAGTTTGCTGGCTATCAAACTGACTACCTTTAGCTAACGTTAGAAAATTGAACTAATTTCCTTACTTCCCTTAAGAAGTCTAAAAGCTTATTTTATTTTTGTGAGCCATCATCAGAGCTAAGCTACATGATATCACAACCAAGTTACAAATAACATGCTAAATACCAAAATACAGGAAGTTGCAAAGTAATTTACTTACACTGAAATCTGCAAAAAGATTAAAAACAGGGGCAGATATGGCAGGAGTGCTATAACTGGAAATGAAAGAGTGATGACATTCATAGAGTTTTTCTGTAATCATGTTATATTCATCTTGTACGTATATTTCATTTACTGAGATTCCACTATTAATGAAAATGATAAAGCAATACAGTAATGGAAACAATAATATACTACAACATAAACAAACTATCAGATAAATGAGTAGAACTGAAAACACAAACAGCAGTCAAATATAAATGTATGATGTCATACAGCACATAACACAATATTTTAAAAATATCTTGTTTTTACAAAACGAGAGGGTGTGAAGTTGGGCCTGTTCAATATGGTTCAATACAAAAATGTATTGGAATTATTTACTTACCTGTACTAAGTGTTTTATACTGAACACCTAAGAAACCAATAGCAGCCATCCGTCCAAAATTTGTAACTTCTGCGAAACCGTAATTCCAAATGCTGTATGTTTCACTGAACCTTTTAATGAGTCCTATATTAAAAAAAAATAAGATGCATTTGTAACAGTGGTCATCATCATCATCATCATATACAATTGCTGACAATTTACACTTGCTGAAATTGATAATATACACGTGTTCAGCACTGGGGACGGCTACAGTTATTTCATATTTGAAGTGCAAATTTCCTTATTCAATACAGTAGCTTTTTCCTGTAGATGGTCAGCATCATTGCTACAACAAGGGAATAAGACTTGAAAAAAAAGTCAAGTTCAAGTCATTAATGACCGAAGGGCAAAATGTAAAGGCATTTTGCTATTTTTGTATGTTATATTTAAGGCCTTGGAAATAGTAAATCTATATTTAAGAACAATTCTGAACCTTTCTTTTCTTGGGTTGTTACAAAGTGCAGTAATTCTTTATCATCTTACTGCTATTAATGTGGACCTCACTGTTACTGGTCGTCCACCTGGCTCTGCCTTGTCTAGGATCAAAGCTCTCACTTATACACATGTTCTGAGTTAATTTTGCATAGTATTTATACTGAATTGCCAGTTTATTAAGTATGGTTTAGGTACATTTTGCCAGACTTAGCTTTAATATTTCTGCTGCTAGAGTCCCTTTTCTACTTCTGCAGTTCTTCTGCTTCTGAGTTTTGGCACCTTTTTTAAAGTTTATTTTAAGGTATTTTACTCTAAAATAGAGCAACAGACATATGCAAAAGCTTGAATAATTCCTGTCAAATGATGTTTTTCTTGAACTGAAAAAAAGTTGTGACATCCTTTACATGGTACAAACTTAAATAAGGCATATTCCTGCATGTATTAGTGCACAGTTTCTTTTTATTTGCTGAACTTAATATGTTAAAAAAATAAATAAATAACACATAAAATGTGCCATAGCTTTTGCCCAAGCCACATTTTATGTTCACATTTTTCCCCGGTATGTTCAGTTCAGCAAAATAAACAGTAACTACGCATCAAAATGTGCAGACATGTTTTCTGTAGAGCTGTCTTGATGATGTCAGTTAAATGTGTAGGTGTTATGTAGGAAAATAAATACTTGTACAGCAACCTCAAAATACAAGTGACACACTGTTATTTGGGGGGAAAAGTACAGAGCACATAACATTTCAGCACGTGAGAACACCATTCATTTTTCCCACTGAGAATAATGACTTAGATCCTCGGTTTGTCAGGATGCTAATGGCAAACTCCAGAATGACAACACAACCTCAGAGCTCTATATCAACCCCCACTGCCCATTTTATCAGCTACCACCTACCCCTAAGATTAGCACTCTAAGCTGTTTTCCAACCAGGGCTCTACAGGCTTCTTTTCTCATGCTACTTGATGTCAATGCAAAATTATACACCAAAGTTCACAACATTCTATTAGATTTGCTAGAAAATCCCATTCTGATCAAGGGACTGTCTTCCTACTGGTTTAGATCCCACCTGACTGTAAGACGTAAGAATGTGGGAAAATTGGTATTGGTAGATGTAAAACAATAAAGGATTGTAATTCCTACCTTGAATGATGATATTTATGAAAAACAGAGGCAGTATTATGAACAGCACCCCTATCCATGCTTGTGATACTTTGTCAGCAGAACTGAAATTCCCAAAAAGACCTACAGCAGAAACAGAACCAAAGAAGACTTATCAAGCACATCTACCATTACAGGTTTATTTGATCTATCTGCACATAGACACCTTACTGTACATATTGCACTTTCTGCACACCTTATCGCACATCTTGCACATCTGGACACTCCACACCTAGACACTTTATTTCAGTACCAATATATGCACATATTGATTCAGTATTGTCATTATATGCTGTTACCTGTGCCTCCTTGTACAGTCATTATTGCACTGCCTTTTTATCTCAGGTTATAGATCTTATTGCATATTTCGGTATATTTCTATTTGTATTAAGGCCTGCAGATAGGTTTTTTGAATACATTCTTCTGTTTATATTGTATCACCTCAATTAAAGGACAGTTGCTTTGTCGATTTTTCCTTAGCAGCATCCTTAGCAACAAATGGCACATCAAATATTTTATATGTTACTGCTTTAATTCTTCTCTGCCATTTTGCGATGTGCAGATATGAACGAAAAACATCTTGATAATTATGAGGTGTAAGAATAATGCGTACTTACTCGAGTAGGTTACAGTAGCTATCACAGCATATTCCAGCGCAACTGTTGATCTTTTAACAAATCTTCGGACGCTCTCTGTAATATAATAAGCCCACAGTTTGAACCAGCCATTGTATTCATGGCACAACTAAGTGCCTTTCAACCACATTGAGAAGTCTCATAGTTTTGATCTGGAAATGTATTTTTTTAGTATATATTCATCCATTCAAATTCGACGTTCTCCCAAAAAGACAACTGTAAACATTTAAAATACCTCAGACACTGTATACAACTCTAATTCTGATTTCTGTGTAATGTGTGTCATAAGATTGATTATACTGATCATTTTTGTTTATTTTATATGTTTTTATTGACCGACCCGTGACCCAGAAGGATAAGCAGCTTAGAAAATGTATGTGTGTGTGTGTGTGTGTGTGTGTGTGTGTGTGTGTGTGTGTGTGTAGATTGACCATAACTCCTAGAAATACTGCTCAGTAAAACATACCTTTAATTGTAATCAAATACTGAGAAAACCGAAACAGGGAAAGGATCTTTTGGGCCGTTTCAGTGGAGAACTCTGGAACAAATAAAAGAACAATGTATCCATCCCAGATAGCAATAGGGACACTGTTGGCCAGTGCTTACTACATGAGATTAGACATTTGCAGTTTCCATCACCTTGTAAAATAGGTTTGACCAAAGCTGGACCAGAATACTGGCAACAAAAAACCCTCCAGTTTGGTGCAGTTGGAAAGGTAATCTAAATCGCTAACCATAAGCTAGTTAATTCACTAAACGTAAAAACACAAATGTTAACAGAATTATATCAGATAATTACAGATGGCACATAAACCTGTGAATTGTGTGCAGCTGCAGTTAGCCAAGCAGCTAATAAAACAGTTAGCAAGTTGGCTGTCTTGCCTACTATAAACAGTTAAAACATAAAAGTGAACATAATTATATCAGATATTGATATACGCAATTGTGACAGAGCCTATTTCCAAGTCCATATGACTGACTTCCAGTCTAAACGCACTCCAGTGTTTCTGGGCTTGTAATAAAAGACATTTATCTAAAATTATTAAGTACAAATCACTGTAACTATGTTACATAGTTTTTATAAGAGAAAGCAAAAACTCATGTTATATAGTGTACATTTTCATGCAAGGCATTACTGGTATGATAACCATCAAATATTTTCAATTTGTAATATTATATATTTTAATAAACATATATATACATATACTTGCTCATATTAAAAATATATGTGCAATATATGCAATGTTTTAAAATACAGGTGCTAAATATATTTAACTATATTTGAAAATTTAAATGTATATACCAATATATGCAGATATATGTCAATACATATATATACAGAAATATATGCACATACAGTGGGGATCAAAAGTCTGAGACCACACTGAAAATCTGGGAACTGAAATACAAATTTGTTCATTTAAACCTGTAAATGAACAAAAGGATATTTTAGAATTTTTATTTTAAAAACAAAGCAAAGCTATGACACTTAAAATGAAGAAGTGTTCAAAATTCTGCACTATTTCTAGGTCTCTAATCAAATGTAAACAAATTTGGGACACTGACCATGTTAAAGCCTTTGTACAAGGTCAGATTTTTTAGTCTTTCCTCTTCTACTGTAGCTTGTGTTCACACAACTCTTGGTGGATTTGATTTGTGGGGACAAGTGCAGCTCGAGTGCACACTGTCGTTAAAGCAGAAGGTGGACACACTGTACCAAATACTAAGAAATTCTGAAATTCATGTACTGTTCTGCTGATAATATAATTTGAAATGAAAACCTTTGTTATGAACCAGCAAACAATGCAAAATAGCATTTTCACTAAAGGTCCCAGACTTTTGGACCCCACTGTATGTGGATTAAATATGTAATAGTGTACATTTTTGTACTTATCTGTTAAACATAAATGGAAATATATTACGAACTTGACACATACTTTGAAAATGAAATATATTTTCTTTTCAAATGGGATGCATTTCACAATGACCAGTTGTAAAAAAATCTTCAAAAAATATTCGGGACCCTCTACTTTAAGAAGGAATATACTGACTCATTTATGTTTTTTGTGTTTTTATTTCTTTACATTAACTGATGATCACTCTATATCAGTAAAACTTACCTTGAAATGCATCCAAATAGGGAGCAATCCACAACAGGGAAAGAATCCGTAGCAGGTTAAGGGCTGAGCAGGTAGCCGCCTCAGTGATGAACCCTGGAGCAAAATAATCTGTTTTAATAATGTGTCCTTCACAAGTCAAAAAACAAGATATTACACCAGTAAAAAAACAGTGAGGTAAATAAATATTTGGAAAACAACCACTTCATCTCTATGTCAGATGAGCAAATGCTAAATTCCACTGTACCCTGTAGTCTGATATTTCTGAGTTGGTAATCCTGTAGTTAAACTATAGTTTTAATTTATTATCATTATTTATTATTTTTGTTCATTTGTTTCATTTCATTCATTTATTTATTTATCTTGCTCTGTGCCTTCTGTCATTATTTTGCACAGCGTATCTGAAGTTCATGTGTGCTCTGGACTCCAAGGGACTCCAACGTCCAATAAGTTTAACACTGGGTAGCCAGCTAGCGCTTGTATTAGTGAACGTTATCTGGATAATTAGCTGCATATATCTTGTAAAATATTTGATGTTTGGAGAAAACATAGCAAAACGTTTTTTCTTCATTTTTAGGAGGTAAGACTGTCTTCTACATACACACTAAATGTAAATGAAATAAATAATAACAATAGCTGCGCAATTATCTCTACTCTTTAAATAATTTTAGCATCAAAATATATTTTCCAAAAAGTTGTATAGTTGAAATGGGTGCACTTAAATAAAGTGGGCACACTTAAATAAGTCAAAACTGTTTGGTTTAACCTCCATAGCCAATGTAGTATTTCTGTGTATTGTGAATATAAAAATATTTTGATAGTATATTTTATACATCACACAATACACAGGATATATCTGACAATACTTAGTTGATTTACATGACACAGTGAAAACATTTCTTAGGCACCCAAGAAAATTATATTTTAAAAAGGTATTCATGTGGGAAGTAAGTGTTTATTTGCTCAGAAAAACACTAATATTGAAATAAACACTAATAACTTTAGTACAGTAAGTAGTGATTCGATGTATGTTAATGTTAGCTTAACTATTTCCAGATCTCCCCTTGATGAAGTCAGAGTCGTCACCCAGGACCTGGTTTGGCTAAACAAAGCTTAATCAACTTAAATCAGGTGTGCTGGTGATGGAATTATTAAATAAGTCAATGCAATGACTGGGTGCATCTAACTAGCTCATATAACATCAATTACATTTTTGAAAACAAGTTCTTTTTGCTTTTTATTTGGGTCATTGACATGATGAAGTCCATTATTTTCCCTAAAAATAATGCAATAAATACATGACATATATCAAATTATTCAACAATATCTCTTTTATGTGAAACAATTTTAAGTGCATCCATATAAAATAAAAACATTTTTATTTGTTTTTGCCACCAAAAGTCTAAAAATGTTAGGTGGTGCAATTGTCCAACCATGTATGATGATTAAGTAAACTATCAGATATTTTAGTTATATAAAATCCAAAATAAAACAGTTTAGCATGATTTTTGTTTGAACACACAAAATGGGGATGCTGGCAAGGGTACTGCATCATAAGGAAGATCTCAACTGAAGTGACCTTCATGGTACAATGCCAAGGTCAGTAGTACGTTCACAAATTTTGGAAAAAATGTGATATTTGAGTCATTGGTAGAACTTTGAGTCATTGGAGAACTATGTGTAATTATTATAATATAATATAATATAATAATTATATAATTATATATAAGGTTTATTTTAAAAAATGAGTGTATATATATGTGTATATATATATATATATATATATATATATATATATATATATATACTTGCATTAAATATATATATATATATATATATATATGCATTAAATATATATATATATATATATATGTCTTATTAAAAAAGTATATATATGTCTTTTTTAATAAGATTTTTAAAAATTGTAATTTTTGAAAACCTTATTTGTCACGGACCCATTTAGATTTATTACTGTAAGGTTAAACAGTGTTTTTGCTACTGCTGAGATATATAGTTTTAAACAATTTACTAGCTAAAACTTTTGCACAATATATTTCCCATGGATTTTGACTATAGTACTTACCTTCAGTGGCACCCCAAAAGATGAAGGCAAGGAACACAGCAATGTTCGGACAAAAGACAAGTTCGTACCGTATCGCTAAGGTCTTTCTGCTGTTGTTGTTGCGAACTACAGAGATAATAAACAACAGCTGCTTTTCAGTGCTTCATTACAACTTAATAAAGTAATCTTAACACACAGTTCCATTAAGTCAATCACTGTGATCAAATAAGTAAATTAATGGAATCTGCCTTACCTTTAGGTCCTAAAGTATTACGGATGGCTGGCCAAACTGCCAGTGCACAGAGAAACAATGCCAGTATACAGAGACACAATATCCCAGTGTGCATACTGGAAAAACCTGTGTGTGCAAAAAACAGATCAGTAAGTGTATATTAACTTAGCATTATTATTATTATTTCTTTTTAATGCTCTAGTCAAATTATAAAATGTTTCGCTTCTATCCAATCACAATAAAGGTAATTACACTCAAAAGACGGAGTGATGTTTGTTGTCCATGCCCACCATTTTACAAGGTCAGTATGTCTGCAAATCTCTGAACTAGGGCTGGGTGATAAAACGATAACGATAATTATCGCAATGTAACTTTTCCTCGATAGAGCGATAAGACATGTTCGATAAATGTTCAATATAATACACCATTCTCACACTTCCACATTCAGCGAAAGCCTTGGTGGCGTTTTCTACTGCAAGGAAAGCGACACTACTCTGCTGTCGCCAGGAGAGGGCGCACTTCCGAGTTTTTCCAACATGATTAGAGAGGGAGGGGGCCACGAGTAAGATGAGTCTTTAGCAACGGCTGAAACGCGGAGTTATACAGTCCCTGTTTGAGCGGAGCGACAGGCGATCTGTTCTCCTGTGACCGAGTCTGAGTGACGAGGTCAGTGGTGTAACTGTAATGTCCTGTAATGTAACTGTAATGTCCTACAGCAAACTCACCTCTTTCTGTATATTCTAACCAGCTTTAGCAGCGTTAAATCACAATCCTCACAACTACAGTGCTGTTACAGCGCTCGGACAGTCATATTTAAGTATTAATGCATTCACAAGCAACAAAAGTAAAAGAAGAAGTGGGTTCATGTAAATTACAGCCCTGATTTAAACGAAAGTAAACTGAGGAAGCTGTGTGGCAGTGGAGAGCGGGAGAGCGCTAGCTTTCCAGGCTAGCTGTTTTTAGCAGCTGGCTAACTTGAAGCAGCTCCGTCACTGCACAACACGGAGGATTGATGATACTGTAGATCAAACACGACACAAAAGCACCGCTTTCAGTTTAAACATACCTAAAAAAAGGACTCCGTTTGTCTGGTGTTGATATTTTGCGGTTCACCACTTAAAGTACTACGATAGTATAGAGAAATCCAGTCGTCGCTAGCTGGTGTCTGAATACTGTGATGTCATTTGTAGCGGGGTAGCCGAGCGCTCGGCACCAGCTAAAAATAATCTGTTTTCTTTCTTAAATTATGACTATTACAAAATAGCCATGCTTTTCCAGCTGGTAAAACAGCTCACCAGACACTTTCTCCCACTCTCCCATGACATTTCTGTGAAATGTTCCACTGTTTGGTGAGTGTTTGTTGTGTTCCGACCATAAAGGATAGTTTAAAACAGCAACTGACCACCCAGGAGCAAAAATCAGCCTTCAAACTTGAAAGAAATAATGATTTGACATGTATGACACGGTATGTATCGATATTGAACGATATGAATTTTGTTTATCGCGAAAACATTTTTGGCCATATCGCCTAGCTCTACTCTGAACACACTGAGCTTTCAGAGCATCAGAACAGAGTCCTCTTAAAGCACTGTAAAATATGAATATCCACTTCAGAGGGGTGTCTACCAATTCACCAGGCTAACTGCACCCTGATGTTCCTGAGGGTGATAAAAATACTGTACAGCATGATGTAAAATCTATGTTTTCCTGTATAACAATTAAATCTAGTATTGGGCTAAACTGCAATGCCAGTGGCAAATCACCACTGCAAATTTTTTTTTAGTCTAGGCTTAAAAAAGAAGTTGAAAGTGCATTTCTGAGCCTAAGTTGCACTTTATTTATTTTTCTGACTGTATAACACACCAAAAACAGTTGAAATATATAATATAATATATTAATATATAATAAATATTTCTAGCATCACTTATACAATTTCAGCCATCAAAAACCTCCATTTTTTGTTCTCTTTCAGAAACTTTTTTCCTACTACAGAGGTGCAACAGACTTCAAAAGATGGTGGATTGAGCTCCATCACTACAGAGAACACCATTCCACTTTTCCTCAGCTCATTGCTGGGGCGCTTTGTTCCTCTCTAGCTGATGCTTGGTGCTGGGCATAATTGGCTTAGGCTCCTGTATGGCTGCTACAGAGTGTTCCAATCTTATCCACAAAAGCCCAGTGTAGCCAAGTTTTCATTCCAACCAAGCATTAAAACTGACTGTCCATTGGCTTGCATGCATCTTGCCATTCTCTACTGACTTTTCTAATCAACAGGCTGATGAAGAATGCCATAGGATTCCCTTTTTCTATAAAAAATACTGCATCTCGCTGGTTTTCCTTGCTGATAAAATGACAGAGGCTAAACACTGTGCTCCACATCTTTTATGATCTCTTTACTGGCACAACACCATATTTAAAGCCCCTGTCTACTCAATTTATTGATTGTCTTCCATTATCTATGGTTTTTGTGATGTTTTCACTATGACCTGACAGAAAAAGAATGATGTTGGTCTTTTCTGTTGAGATATGTTTGAAATGTTTATGCCGTTTTCTTCAGTTTGATTTAGTGGGACAAAATTTGGCGAAGGTGATGTCAAATCTTCCGAAGTACCAATCAGTGTTAGTAATGTGTATACATTAGCTACTTGTGTTCCTCTCCCTCACAGACAAAACTCCCAGTGAGTAGATTATTTAAGCATTTCTAAATTTGTTAACAGAGCTTGTTGTGAAAGTTTATTACATCATTGTTTGTATCACAGCTAAACGCTGCTTCCTACTTGCATTAGCCACCTACTGTAAGTGATTAACTTCATTTATGAGAGCGCGGTAGCTAGCGATCGAATTTAACTGTATGAATAAAATGACATGTTAACTTAATGCTACATTAGCCAATCAATAGCCAATTCAGTTCCTGTGCTGATAAATGCTGGATTTACTAAGAAGTTACTCTACTCAAGTTGTTTTTGGGAAGGTACTTTTTCTTTTACTTGTGTCATTATTTTACCCACGTATCAATAAGTATCAAGTATCAAAGGTTACTCTACACTCTACTTTTTTTTACGACAGGGGTACCTGTACAACGCTATACTAATATAATAATAATTATTTTTAAAGTGCTTTGCCGCAACACTTTCTGAATTTAAAAGTTCAGAATATTAGAATTCTACACGGTTAGTTTAAAAACAACCCTGCACCACTACATGCAAAGTGTACAAAAATGTTAACTTACCCAGCTGCAGCACTTTAACAGTTGTGTTAGCTGAAAAGTCCCCAGAGAACACTTTACACACATACAGGCCTTTGTCCTCAGTTCGGAGATCCTTTAATCTAAGTGAGAAGTTTCCTTTCTGCCTTTCTTCAGGGCTGAGGAACTCGACTCTGTCAATGTATCTCTCATGGGTTGATTCAGTCTGGACCTCACCATTTTGGAAGATCAGCACTGGAATCTGTTGATCCACTTTAATCCATGAGACCTCAAGCTTTTCAGGTGGGATATGGAAGTCCACAGAACAATCCATAGTGATGTCCTCGCCCGTATACGCAGATACGACATGACCTACGGTCAATCAAAGGCAATCAAAAGAATCATTTGAAATAGTACAGTGTAAAATTACATTTTAAGGCCTTAGATCAGAATATACTAATGAAAACACACTGCATGCTAGTTCATTCAGTACGCTGACCTTGTACCTACAATCGCTGTCCAAGTGCACCTACCATATAGGGGCATTTTGTGGGTTCGTAATTATGGGCCGACGCACAATTCATCTATTAATGAACATTATATCTGCCCTTCCCTACCTCATCCATCAATGGACAGATCACCACTGATCAGGTATTATTTGTAGACATCAATACCATTTCTTTCAGACCAAGTACAAGCATGAGTACGTTTTTTGGGACTTGCCAGTATGATACCATAATAAATAAGTAATAATGAGCACTTAGAATTAAGTGTTCGAGTGCATTATACCTTAAATTGTTTCATCATTAAACAGTTAAATTGTTATATTCTAGCTAATTTTAAATGATGATACATGCTTTAGCTAGCTATGCTACATCAGTTACAGTGGAATGAGTAGCATTGCAGTGGAGAATAGGGTTGGATACATAATGCTATCATCCATCATCGATGGCTGATCACAACGTTGAGCCAGTAACGTGATGCCATACCCCCGCCCTAATGCTGCCCCCGTGTATTAGACAAAAAACTCTTTAAACATTCTATGCTACACAGGCTTTTTTGCAAGGTTTAGGCTTGAAGTGATGGCCCAATCAGAAATCTGCACATGCTGTTAACACGCTCTTCTTTATCATTCCTGCAGCAAAATGGATGATACAAGACTGACTCACTGCCGCACCACTCATGCCATGCAGAGGCAGTCAGTGTAAAATAAAGACTGGCTGTCGGGATGGAGCGATACTGGAGGGGTTTCAGTGCGAGAGAGAACACTGATGCGGCGACTTTTTTGAAAAGAGCAAACATCACGCCGCTCCACTTTGCACTCTGCACCGCTTCTATGCTGTGCCTGCTATAATTTCATTGTCTCTGCTATAAAAAACTATGTTTATTTTTTATTCCCTACCTGGAGATCTGAACTAATGAATATGTATTTTAATGAGTGTCAAGTATTTATAGTACCTTTGCAAAACTAACACTACCCCCTCCCAGACATTGTCAATGTTTGACATCACCAAACCCTAGCAGAGAAGAGCAGGGTTTCTTAGTTTTGCTCCTGGCCTGTCTATTTCAATAACAGTCTCTGTAGTGCAGCGACAGCAGGAATCACATCTGAGGCTATTCTGAGGAACTCACTTGTGGACTTGTTGGGGTCTTTTGTTTAACTGGTTGAGCTGTAGCTGAATGTCTTCTAAAGGCAGACATACACTGTGTGACTTAAGAATCTTTGGAGACTAACACTGTACACTGGACTCACAGACAAACTTTAAAGAGTCCACACACAATTTATATTGGAACACAGCCCCTCGGGGCCTAATTTGGAAAGCTCTACGAACAATTTAAAATAAAGCTGTTTCACTTAAAATAACAAGATGTGCACCCGAATACAGAGCAACCGCAACGGCATCAGCAACACTTCCCTGTGCAAGCAGACCCTCGTTCACTGCCAGCTCGAGACGTTTGTTCATTAGCGTGGCAGCGTACACTAGGCTTATGTCACATGGTATCAGATGGTATCACATGTTGGTATCGATGCATTTTCATGAGTATGAGTAAACGAGTATGGTATTGGGACAATACTTGATATCAGTATAGGTACTGATGCTTTATTAATTACTTGGGTGGTGGATCAGTCTTATCACAGCAGTGACATTGATGGTTGTGTGTGTGGCACTGATGCGAGTGTATCGGGGGTTGCTGGAGAGTAAAGTTGTGTTGCTGAAGTCTTTACACCTGTATGTAAGCTTACTGGCCACTTTATTAGAATTCTCTTTACTTATCGGAACTATGGATCATTTGCCATGTCTAATTTGTGAGCCATCCTCTATTCCAGAACACCAGATACACTGTGCCAGTTACATGCAGCCAGATAAACTGTGCAGGAAAACAAGTCAGCTACTGTCAGTAACTGTAAGCCTATATGTTAAGCGTTCCTGATAAAATGGTCAATGAATGTACATACAAGATACACCTGCTTGCGCCTAATAAACTGGCAACTCACTGGATCTTAAAACAGAATTGTTTCATAAATAGATTCTGCTTATTCATATAAAGTAGGAACGCACAGTCATAAAAGGCCAAGATCAACTGTTCTTTGCACCAAATATTCAATTGTCAATCAGCCAATTTATTATTTTTATTTTGTCCAATCTCTGTTATGGTTTTTGAAATGTGTGCCGAGTATGTGTGTTGTACTTGAATGCTGCTGCTACACTTGTACCAAAATGTAACATAAACATGCAAGACTGTGTTAAATAACCAGCTGCCTCTTAAGTTTCAAAGCTGAATTTTTTTTATTCATGTTATAAAAACTGATTTTTTTACTGAACTAACGTAACAGTTTGGCTTATTAAAGCGATAATAATGGTATTTACACTATATTGCCAAAAGTATTCACTCACCCATCCAAATCATTGAATTCAGGAGCTCCAATCACTTCCATGGCCACAGGTGCATAAAACCAAGCACCTAGGCATGCAGACTGCTTCTACAAACATTAGTGAAAGAATGGGTCGCTCTCAGGAGCTCAGTGAATTCCAGAGTGGTACCATGATAGGATGCCACCTGTGCAACAAGTCCAGTCGTGAAAATTTTCTCACTACTAAATATTCCACAGTCAACTGTCAGTAGTATTATAACAAAGTGGAAGCGATTGGGAACGACAGCAACTCAGCCACGAAGTGGTCGGCCAAGTAAAATGACAGAGCGGGGTCAGCGGATGCTGAGGCGCATAGTGCGCAGAGGTCACCAACTTTCTGCAGAGTCAATCGCTACAGACCTCCAAACTTCATGTGGCCTTCAGATTAGCTCAAGAACAGTGTAGAGAGCTTCATGGAATGGGTTTCCATGGCTGAGCAGCTGCATCCAAGCCTTACATCACCAAGCGCAACGCAAAGCGTCGAATGCAGTGGTGTAAAGCACCGCCACTGGACTCTAGAGCAGTGGAGACGTGTTCTCTGGAGTGACGAATCACGCTTCTCCGTCTGGCAGTCTGGGTTTAGCGGTTGCCAGGAGAATGGTACTTGTCTGACTGCATTGTGCCAAGTGTAAAGTTTGGTGGAGAGGGGATTATGGTGTGGGGTTGTTTTTCAGGAGGTGGGCTCGGCCCCTCAGTTCCAATGAAAGGAACTCTTAATGCTTCAGCAGACCAAGAGATTTTGGACAATTTCATGCTCCCAACTTTGTGGGAACAGTTTGGGGATGGCCCCTTCCTGTTCCAACATGACTGCACACCAGTGCACAAAGCAAGGTCCATAAAGACATGGATGAGCGAGTTTGGTGTGGAAGAACTTGACTGGCCTACACAGAGTCCTGACCTCAACCCGAAAGAACACCTTTGGGATCAATTAGAGCGGAGACTGCGAGCCAGGCCTTCTCGTCCAACATCAGTGTCTGACCTCACGAATGCGTTTCTGGAAGAATGGTCAAAAATTCCCATAAACACACTCCTAAACCTTGTGGAAAGCCTTCCCAGAAGAGTTGAAGCTGTTATAGCTGCAAAGGGTGGACCGACATCATATTAAACCCTATGGATTAAGAATGGGATATCACTCAATTTCATATGCATAGACGAGCGAATACTTGAACTTGTGTGACAAACCCAACAAGGTTTAGGAGTGTGTTTATGGGAATTTTTGACTATTCTTCCAGAAGCCCAACTCCTGAAAAACAACCTCACACCATAATCCCCCCTCCACCAAACTTTACACTTGGCACAATGCAGTCAGACAAGTACCGTTCTCCTGGCAACCACTGAACCCAGACTCGTCCATCGGATTGCCAGAAGGAGAAGCGTGATTGGTCACTCCAGAGAACACGTCTCCACTGCTCTAGAGTCCAGTGGCGGCGCTTTACACCACTGCATTTGACCCTTTTGCATTGCGCTTGGTGATGTAAGGCTTGCATGCAGCTGCTCGGCCATGGAAACCCATTCCATGAAGCTCTCTACGCTGTTCTTGAGCTAATCTGAAGGCCACATGAAGTTTGGAGGTCTGTAGCGATTGACTCTGCAGAAAGTTGGCGACCTCTGCGCACTATGCGCCTCAGCATCCGCTGACCCTGCTCTGTCATTTTACTTGGCCGACCACTTCATGGCTGAGTTGCTGTCGTTCCCAATTGCTTCCACTTTGTTATAACACCACTGACAGTTGACTGTGGAATATTTAGTAGTGAGGAAATTTCATGACTGGACTTGTTGCACAGGTGGCATCCTATCATGGTACCACTCTGGAATTCACTGAGCTCCTGAGAGCGACCCATTCTTTCACTAATGTTTGTAGAAGCAGTCTGCATGCCTAGGTGCTTGGTTTTATACATCTGCGTCCATGGAAGTGATTGGAACTCCTGAATTCAATGATTTGGATGGGTGAGTGAATACTTTTGGCAATATAGTGTGTACATGTGTATATATATATATATATATATATATATATATATATATATATATATATATATATATAAACCCACAGAGTGTGAGTTTTAGGCTAATAAAAGCAATCAAAAAACATTCGCTGGTAAAAAAAACTGGAATTGGCTGTAAATTTTCATGATCAGTGCCTAACTACTATAACGTGAATTTTTCATACATTATTATTCATAAAACAAGACATCCTGTTTAGGCTTTTACAGTCAAAATCATTTTCTACAAAACATTTTTTAATTGTGTAACAAATAAAATTACACCGAAGTTTCACTCACCAATCTCAATTTTAACTGATGTTTGACCAGTTTCCTGTTGTCTGTAAACGGTACAGTTGTAAACTCCTGCATCGTTAGTCACCAGATTTGTGAGGAGGAGAGAGAAGTTTCCATGTTTGACCTCCTCAGTAAAGAAACTGGCTCTTCCACTGTAAGCCTGATCCTGAGCCTCTGGTTTACTCTCTCCATCTTGGAACAAATGCACTAAGGTTTCAGAGTCTGTTCTCTTCCACTCCACTTTCAGCTCTTCCGGTGGTACGGGGGCTTCAACATAACAGGGCAGCATCACTGAGACCCCCAGCTTCGCAGTCAGAGGACCAGAGGGGCCTAGAACATGGAGCCCTGAGAGAAGAACAAACACAATGAGATGAGTAATATTTTTCACAACATACACTGTCAGAAAAGGGCACTGCAGGTAAATTTTATGCCCTCAGGGTACGAACAATACAACACTGTTTTCATTCATAGTTTGCAGCAGTTGCCAACTGACCTTACTTGGCCGATCAAGTAAAACCAGAGCCCCTCCACCAGGTCTGATATGATTGGCTTACAACTTATAAGATCTGATATGATTGGCTTACAACTTACGAGGTCTAATATTATTGGTCGAGCCGGGGTTTCCACTTTTCACTTTACGTTAGTCAGTCTCTGGTAGCACAACAGAGGCAGCACTGCATTATAGTAAGAACAGCACCTCCAACACGTCAAGCCCTGCTATTACAGTTTACTGGGCATAACAAACTATAAATGATTTGAACTAGTAATGTATATTTATTTGAGAAGAGGGGCTTAATAATGCATAGAGGAGGGGCTAAAGCCTAAAACTGGCCTAGCGATGCCTATGACCCTTAATAAATAGACTAGTCAAAATGTATTAAATGTGACACATTAATGATTGCTTGCCTTTTAATTGCAGTTTCGACTGAAAGTGTGCGTTTTGCAGTTAAATCCCATTTCCTTATCGACTTCTCGACTCGAACACAGTTTTATACACCATTATTGGTTTACTGTGTCTCAGGGAGGTGGAGGCGCCTTCCTGTCGTTCATCCTGAATTCCACACACTGAAAAATATGCTAACTTTACTTGGTTCTGATGTTTATATCGGTTCCACATGGATAAAAATATATCACACTAACTAAATTCTTGCCCAAAACAGCCATTCAATAAGCTGAAATAAGGCTTGTGTGGGTGTAACGTATCTTATTGATGTGGAGTCGCTGAACACATTTGAACCAAGTAAATCAGCGCTGTTTTCTTTTTCAGGGCGTTCACAGAGAAGGAGCTCTACAGTAAATATGAACGAAAATGAAGTGTTTAAATCATTTCTTACCGTCACAGATGAACAGAACTCCTGACAGAAAAAGGAAAATGGTTAATCCCATCTTCACATCTGGGAAAAACACGGTCCTGTCAGACGAACTTTTTACTTTCACTCCTCAGACTTTAGCGGTGGGCGGGACAAATGGGATGGCCGTCAATCACGTAGTGACTCTAGCCAATCACATAACAGCTACCGAAATCTAACGAGCCAATCACCAACAGAAATTCAGCACTAAAGCTCTTGCAGAACTGATTCGGTACTGAATCAATTTCACTGATTTGACTGGAAACTTCGCTGCATTTTAAACGCTTCAGTTAAACAGCAGAGCTGCTTTTTGGATGTTTCAGTAATTTAGTTTTCTGTGCTGCTTTTACCGTCATTATAACTGTTCTGGTCGCGGTATCAGTGAAGTTTGGAGGAGATGAATCACAGCGATACCAACCATCAGAATGCTAAGGATGTGTTTATAATTGCAAATCTAAAATACGCGGTGTAATCTACTACTTTTCATCCCGTCACTGTAGTCTATACCTACTTAGAAAACTGGGTAAACTGCATTTAGGATAGTTTAATCTCTGCTGTTTCTCTTTATCACCGACTTTGGCGCTGTCACGGTCAAAATGAAGAGGAGTCGATGAGTCGATTCCAGCGGCAGGAGTCGAGAGTTGACTCTAGAAGACTCGGATCGTGCATCACTACTCAGTGGCAGAGGTCCAGATCTACCAATATAAAAATACTATAATGACCTTTTTAACAAATATAAACATAAAACAGTGCAAAAAAATGAAATAAATAAATGTTTAAAAACCTGACAATGTGTATCTCTTCATTTACAATTAGTTTATTTTAGTTCTTTCATTGTTTATCTCTGTATTTATTTAATTTCCAATTTATTTGTTTTTGTTTTCCTTACGGTCCTTATGGTAATGAAGGGGCTGCCTTCTTAATCCCATTGGCTGATCAATATCAGAAAATATGGCTGCATAGAGATACACTGAAGGGAATAGAGGATGTACTTGATTTAAATGAGTATTTAGTTTCCAAATGGATAAAATCTCAAGAGTGAAATTTATTAGTTTAAAGACTAGAAAAACCCATTTTGTAGGAGGAACTTGAGGGCAAACTTTGAAATGTGTTTTTTGTTTGTTTGTTTTCTTTTTTTCTTTTTGATAGCTGGCTAATGCAGAAGGAATCCAGATAGCTAGCATTACTGTTAGGAAGCCACATGATGCATGTGTATTTATTAGCCACTCTGGGAGTAATCTCATTAACTTTTAATAAAAATATGTATACACAAATATTTATATACATATATGTAGAAATGTATAGACATATATACATATATTTATATTTCAAACAAAAATATAATCAACTACAGTTTTTGTTTTTGGAAAGAACATGATCCGATGCTGACTGAAGATTGTTGGCTAACAACATTGTAAAAATTAACATCTGTACAGCTGTGCAAATCAGGATAATGTTACAGCGGAGTTACTGTAATACAGCAAGGAGGTTTGATGGTGAAGTGCGAGGTGTCCACTGTGGTTAATGTGCGCTACAGCTCTGGGGAAAAAGCTGTTAACATGTCTGGTTGTTCTGGTTTAGATGGCCTTAAATCTTTCAGTAGCGGGAAGTGGCTGGAGGAGGTGATGTCCAGGATGAGAGGGGTCAGATGTTATCACATTGTCACTCTGCTGTTGTAGATGTCTTGAAGCGTTGGCAGACTACACCCAACGATCCTCTCCGCTGTCCTGATTATGTGCTGGAGTTTGGCTCGTTCTCGTGAGGTGGAGGAACCAAACCAGATGGTTATTGATGATGTGAGGATGGACTCGATGATCGCTGTGTAAAATTGGATCATCAGGCCCTGCAGCAGGTCGAATTCCTTCAGCTGTCTCAGGAAGAACATTCTCTGCTGTGCTCTCTTGGCTAGGAAAGCGTGTTCCTCTCTCACTTCAGGTCCCTGGATATGGTGGTGCCCAGAAATTTGACTCCACAGTGGAAACCACAGAGCCGTTGATGTTGAGGGGGGTAGGGAGGGATGATTGCACCTGAAGTCTACCACCATCTTTACAGTCCTTGGTGTTGAGCATCAGGTAGTTGCTGCTGCCCCAGGAGACCAGCTGCTTGACCTCCATGGTGGGGCCCAGAAAATTGATTCCACAGTGGAAACCACAGAACCATTGATGTTGGGGGGGGGTAGGGAGGGATCACTGCGCCTGATTTCCACCGTTATCTTTACAGTCTTTGGTGTTAATCAGCAGGTAGTTGCTGCTGACCCAGGAGATCAGCTGCTCAACGTCCTCTCTGTAGACAGACTCAGATGGTCCTTGGTGCATTCAAATCTGCTGTGGACCTCATGCAGGTCATTGGTGAACTGGCAGTCGTTCAGGAGAAGGGGAGTCTCTCTAGTAGTCCAGGTTCTGCTTCCTAGCTTAACTATTAACATTTTTTTTTTAACAAACAGAAACTAGCAGAACAGCTTAAATCATGTGGAAACATTCTTTAACTTCATGGCTTTTGGGCCGTTTCTTTTGGTCCATTAATCAAGAAATTTACACACAATACAAAGGACAACAAGCATTGTCAAACTGTGTCAACTGAAAAACGATAAAAATGCATGAAACAAGGTTTTGTTCAGAAAATAGTGACGTGTTTGTTTTTATTTCGATTTTATATAACAAAGCAAATACATTAGATTCTAGCAGGTGGAGTGGCATGCTTTGAGAGCATCAACTCGTTTGAAATGTAACAATATCTAATAAACATGTAAGTTATGTGGTCTTTTTATTAATTCAAAGTATTTTTTTTCAGTATATTAATTAACACAAGTCAAATTCTTGTTGTAGAAGACTGTACCACAGGGTTTCCCAGGCTGCTCAAAGCCAACAGGTAACAAGAAATCAGATATAAAATTGGAAAATTCTAACTTTACTGGCAGCTCAGAATATTCAGCTTTCTTGCAAACACAGAACTACATATCCATTAAATAGCAAGTTACTCTACTGAAAGACAAACAAAATTGGTAACACAAATGACCTGTTACAAATGAGGGAAATACAGATTATGAAAGCACAGCTCTATTTACATCTGTCTAAACATACCAGCTTAGTACAAACACAGTTATCCCACCAATACTACAGTATATCATAGCATTTTTACAGACCGCATATACACCAAACAGCCCCCTCATTAAAACCACCTGCTTGTTTCTACACTCTCTGTCTATTTTATCAGCTTCACTTACAGTATAGGTGCACTTTACAGACTGTAGTCCATCTGTTTCTCTGCATACTTTGTTAGCCCCCTTTTACCCTGTTCTTCAGTGGTCAGGACCCCCATGGACCCTCACAGAGTGGGTGCTATTTGGGTGGTGGATCATTCTCAGCACTGCAGTAACACTGACGTGGTGGTGGTGTGTTAGTGTGTGTTGTATTGTTACAAGTGGATCAGACACAGCAGTGCTGCTGGCAAATTGACAAAGTCAGTTTATGTTACTAGCCTCAGTTCACCAGCTAAGACACAGCTGCCATCAAATGTAAACATTCAATATTACTTGCAAATTCCAAAGGGGGACCAGTGGAAATTAGCATTTTTGTAACAAAGCCTTCTTATAAAGCAAATTAAAGGTTTCTGCATTAAACATTGCTATATAATAACTATACATTTTACAGTGATGAATATGTGCAAATTTATCGTACAGAAAGCGTACCAAAATAGATTTCACATAATCCTGTGCACTATTTTTCTACCCCCTTGGTGACAGCACAGAGCACTGGGTCAGTTTCTGACCACAGGTCAGGTGGTGAATGATTCTCAACACAGCAGTGGCACCAGCATGGTAGCAGAATGGAAAGTTTACAGTTCAGACCAAAAATGCTCTGAATGCAACTGTTCATATTTTCTTCCATGTCACTAGAAGAAATCATGTCCAAGAAGAAATTGCTTCTGTGTCTTTGGTTGGCCCAGTGCCTGCTGGGATTTTCTGTATGTATCAAATACAAAGTTTCTTTGAGCAGACATTAATCTGTGTCCCTCAGATGGCTCCAAACCTACATGTCATCATGTACGTGGTCTGCATACAAGAAGCAATAATTCCTCAATACCTGTTAAAAAAAAACCCACAAAAATCTTTTTACTGCCTTTTTAACTTAGACACACAGAAAAACTCAATGCAATGTTGTTTTACAGAATGGAGAAAGTGTTTTAGCGTGCTTGAGTTAACTGTGCTGTGTTTAAACAACTGACCATTTTATGAAGGACAAAATGAGGAATGACAGGCCTCTTAGCCAATCCCAATCATCCTCTGTCAATCAAAGGACAAGCTCTGACAGAGTTGCCCAAAACAAACTTGCAGCTAAAACGACATTATTCTGAACGATTATATTAAGAGATGGTGGAAAGGTGTTACTGAGGAACGTGTAGTGCCAGACACACACTATGCACAAATGATTAGGATTATTGTTATTTATTTATTTTTTAACCAAGGTGTTTTTATTGTTTTTTAGACAATAAAAAAATAAAAATATAAAAAAAAAAGAAAAATGAGAGAGCAGACAAAAACCCTCCCAATAACGCTGCGCCACTGCACTAGTATTTAAAGGTGGGTGGGAACTCATCCTTCCATTTCAGTAGGATAAGCCGCCTGGCTAAGAGAGTGGCAAAAACAATCGCCCTTTTGGCAGAGTTATCTTTGCGAGACTCCAGTAAAGTCACTCTGAATATTGTCGTAATAGGAGACGGCGTCAGTGATCTCTTAAAGACACTTGAGAGAAAAGCAAATATTGACTGCCAGAATATAATTCATTTTGGACAGGACCAAAACATATGAGAGAGAGTGGCTGGTTCTATTTTACACCTGTCATATATAGGATCAACATTCGGAGTAAATTTAGCCAGCCTATCCTTGGACCAATGTAGACGATGGACTATTTTAAACTGAATGATGGTGTGCCTTAAACAAATTGAAGAGGAGTGTATTCCATCCAAAATATCTTGCCACATCTCCCTTGATATCTGCGTGTCAAGTTCCTCCTCCCGCTGTTGTTTCAATAAAGTTAGAGGCTTCAAATTATATGAATTAAGCAGAGAGTACATCACACCGAGGCATTTCTTAGACTGTGGGCTGGTTTTCAATATAGTATCTAAAAAGGAGTGAGGTGGTAATGATGGAAATTGCGAATAGCTTCATGATATAAAACTACGAAGCTGTAGGTATCTAAAAAAATGTGATTGAGGAATATTAAAATGTGTTCTAATGTTGTTCAAAAGATATAAAGGTATCCTCAACAATCAGGTCTTTAATTATTCTGATTCCTGATTCTCAACCCATCATTTGAAGGCACTAGCGGCAACAGAGGGAAATTTCTCTATTGGGCTGTAAATAGAAAATAGAAGGCTTCCTTGAGCAGAGTAGCGCGTGCAGTGAGGTATGGCTACAGGATGCACTTTCCATTGATAACCACTTGGGAATAATCTGATCATTAGGAATATTAATCCAGTACAGTAAAGCCCTAATATTAGAGGCCCAATAATAATATTGAAAATTTGGCAAGGACAGTCCACCATGCTGACCATGTCGTTGTAGTGCATTTTTGCGTATTCGGGGGTTTTATTTACTCCAGAGAAAACCAGATATCAATTTGTTTAAATAAATAAAAAATGATTATTTTCTGTTTTTTTATTCTTACTAGTGGTATTACAGATGTTACTGATAATAGCTTTGGTTGGTTAACTGCAAATCAGGCATTTTTTTTTTGCTGAACTGGTACACTTGATTGTACAGATTCTCCAAAGATGAAATTGATGAATAACAAAACTGTTGGAAGTCTGTGTGAGCTAATTTTACAATCAGATTTGATTGTACACAACTTTTATAAATAAGGGTTAATGTGTGCACCTGATATTGCTCTGATGAACTCCAGCATTAACTTCAAAACTAGCTCATCCGAAGGAGCAGCTTCCATCGCTAAAACCTCCTCATTACCTGACGTGAAAATCTGCTGCTTTAACATCGAGTGGCTAAAGACTTCCCTGCTTTGATGAATGTAAACATGGTTTAAAGATTTAAAGAATATTTTTTTGTTTGCCTTACATTGGCATACATGCACGTTTTGTCAGTTCTCAAACATGTGTATCTGCACTGAACATCTTGTAAAGCCAGTTTATTTTTGAATAATAAAATATTCACTATATGTTTTAAAATGTATGTGCTATGGATGCTAAGATGTAGCCTGTACTGACAGTTTGACAGATGTAGCAACAATAAGTAAGGGAGGCGAGAGTTTCTAAGAACTCTGCGGACGGTCAGTGTTCAACTTCAGATGTCTGAAATCCTTTTTAACTTTCTACTTCTTACACAAGAATGTGAGCTACATCTTACCTCCTAAGACGCCAATTCCTGAGGAGCAGAATCAGCCTCTGGAGTTCTGTAGAGCCTGAAGTTCATGATTCTGTACCGGTGAGTCCTGCATTTAAGGTAAGATGACATTTCTAAGCTGACACTACAATCGAAGACAATTCTATTATGTGATCTTATATCATACTGCACTAATATTCGCAAAGAAACGTTTACTGAGTTGTAGTGGTTGCAACAAATCAAATCTTAAAAAAAGTAATAAGTAGCATTTTTGCATTTTTCCTTGGCAGTTTCATATTTTTGGCTCTATGAGGATTGCTGAGACAGCACTAGTCAAAAATTTGTGTGAATATAACAGAACAGAAAGAAGATCTTCCCAAATTTTCCCATTAAGTATAATAAAATTGGGGTCCATGTATTTTCTACAATTAAATTTGTAAATGGACATTTGTATTTATTGCACTTTTAATGTGCAAAAATGATACACTCACCGCTGACACCTGTTTACACCTGCACAACTGACGCAAGTCTTTCAGGTCATACATCAACCTGTTATAGTCAGAGCAAAAATAATTCATGAATATATTTTGTGAATAAAAGTGATAAGGAGTGAATCTTGTGTTAAGTATTTATTCCTCTATAATATAAACTTACCTTTCTCTGTTTGTCCGCCCTGCAGCAGAAGGACAGAGACAAAGACAGTTATTTACATTAGAAACCGTTCATCAGTAAATACATAGCCTATAAAATATAGTGTTGTGTTAATAAATTTTGTTGTATCCTAGCTGAGGATCTGTCGTACTGTTCTGCAGAAATTTCAGCCTTCTCGACTTCGTTTACATTGTTTCTGGCACAAGTTTACAGTTTTTTGTTCTGTTCAATCACATCACTGTTCTAATATCCAAATCGTTACATCATCAAGTCTTTTACACAAATGAGCAATCTAAAATTTGCTTATAATTTTTTTTTATAAAACCAATCGCTGGAAAAAACTGGAATGTTTTCAAAGGAAAATGAACAGCCAGCAAACTCTCAAAAAATATTACAGTATCTATACAGCATTAATTCCATATTGATAAAAATACTAGTTACAATTTTGAGGTTTTGTTCTAACAGTGACGATGGTGAATTTAGCTTATTTTAGACTTTAATGTGTTATTTTATATGTTCCCAAGCATGATGGCTTGGAGCTAACTGGTGGAGAACAGGTGGGTTTTTTGTATAACCCTGGTTCCTTGCACTCCCTGTTGAAAGCTTCTGACTCAGCCTTCAAATCCGGGAACAAGAAGGTGCAACAACCAGCAAAACACAATTAGGGATGCATCGTTACCGATACTGGTATTGAGTATCGACTGGATACTTATTTACTCATACTCATCATCATAAAAATTCACAGATACCAACATCTGATACCGTTTGACTTAAGCTTAGGAGGCTAATAACTTGACATTTGCTACCAAAGTCTGTATATACCGACTTTACTCTGTTTGACTGAATATATTTGTTAGGTATAAACATTAAAATGTTGATTTTTTAAACTGTCATTATAAAATAGGCTGTATTGTTCTATCACGTACATAACTGCCTGCTTTCAGCTTCAGTGCAGTGTTAGCAAAGCCGCTGTTCCTTCACACGTTTGGTCAGTACTCGAGTGTGCAGGTCGTTATTTGAATGAAACAGCTTCACTGATAATTGTCTAAAGACAGAGCTCTCTGTAGGGGCGGCACTTCACATAGCATGTCAGTAAGACTGAGCTTTTTTGTACAGTGTGAGCATATAAAACGTAGGCCTTGTCCATACACGATGGTCTATTTCAATGTCAACCTCAAATGTGATTCCTGTTGTCACTGTGTTACAGAGACTGTTGTTAAAGGAGACAGATGAGGATCAAAACTATGAAACATACTTTACTTACAGTTGTACAGAAGCACTTTTCTGATAAAGAACAAAACCTGCTCTTCTCAACTACCACTCTACTCAATCCAGGGTAACTAATGTAGCATAGCTAGTGAATGCACGTTATTTAAAATCAGCTAAATTTTACAATTTAACTGGTAAGATACATTGCACTCATTTACACTAATAACTACTTCGTTTTGAGTAGGCTACTCAGTATGGTATCAGACTCGGCATTGGCAAGTACTAAAAATATGAATTTACACTCAGTCTAAAAAATGGTATCAATGCATTCTCAAACACAACGCTTGCATAAAGTCTACAAACTACAGAAAACCATTTTAATATCAATTTGGACTCATGAGGTATACGTCAGGGCATACAGGAAATTTGGGGATTTAAGAGCAAAATTAGCTGCAAAGTTAAACTTTTGGTGAACATATGATCACAGACTATGTCATATTTGTAGATTATACTTACAGAATGCAGATATCTGTAGCATAAGACAGCCTATAGCAAAGACACTTTCAGAGGGTATGAGAATAACTCGCAGGTCTTCCACTGTACGCTCACCATTTCCTAATGGACAAAAGGAATGATTCTTTTTTTAAATCAGGAAAACACAAATCTTTGCTTGCAAACATTACAATAACTTTATAATAATGCTGCTATTGAAATTAATGAATAATTCTTCCACTTAAAGTTACTGGGGTAATTTACAGTCTGTAAAATGCAAGTAAAAACAGAAGGAAGTGACTTGTAAATCCACTTCTACCTGACAAAAACAGTGCAAAGAAAGAATATTTAATGTTTTACTTCTTCAAGGACTTTAGGTATTTCACCCTCTGTGTTGCATAATATTATTAAAAGATTCAGGGAAACTGGAAAATTCTCTGTGCATAGGGCAAGGCTGAAAACCACAACTGAATGCAATGCATTAAAAACCAACATGCTTCTGTGATGGAGGTCACTACATGTGTTGTTGCTGTGTCCACAAATGCAAGTTAAGACTGTACTATCCACAATGGAAACCACATGAACAATGTCCAGAAATGCTGCTGGCTTCTCTGAGCTAAAGCTTATCTGAAATGGACTGATGCACAGTAGAAACATGTAGGTCTGATGAGTAAATAATGGATGTCATGTTGTCCGGGCCAAAAAAAAAGAACCATCCAGATTATTAGCAATGTAAAGTTCAACAGTTCAAAAGTTGCTGTTAAGGTCTGGGGGTATATTAGTGCTGGTGGCATGCGCAAATAACAAAACATTTTGGAGCAACATATGCTGCCTTCTAGACACTTTTGTTCAGGTACATGCTTATTTCAACATCACTGCTTTCTGTTTTATTAGTATTCACACACTGTTCAAACGTTTTGGAATTGAGGTTTATAGTGAGGGATAATTGTCACACCCACTGGTCGTCCTTCATTCAGAGATCAGCTTCTCCGGAGTATTGAGAACTGACTCCTCCCACACTCACGCACCTGCCTACAATCTGCTCATCAGCCTCCCTTTATAACCAGGACTCTCACTCTGCCTCCTTGCGAGGTATTGCCACTCTCATGTGACTTTATTGAGCTGTGATCCTGTGTTTTGGTATTCTCTGTTTTTTTGACCCTTTGCCTGTCTCAACTCTGATTTTTGCTCTGTGGGATTCTGTTTATAAAGATTCTCTGCATTTGCATCTCACTACCCTGTCCGAGTGTTACAATAATCTTTATCTAATTTAATGTCACTTGTACAATTAAGCAGTATCTTGCAACAAGATCATAGAAAACCTATATAGACCGAATTCCTGTTATGCGCACATTCTGTAATCTTCATGTGATATGAAAATACACTGGTTGTGTAATAAAATGATAATCATTGCTGGTAAACACTGTTGATCTCACTCACGTGCTTTCAGAATCAGTTCTACTGCCAGTGCAATGGAATTCACAAAACTGAGACCCACTGCCCCAGCATGTACACAATGGCATGACCTGTAATATAAAACGTGATGTAATTTTAAAAAGAGAGATTTATAAAACACCTAATTGCATAAAATATATGGTGTGTTTCTTCTGCTCTTAGACACTTAATACAACTAATAAGCTCATGAACAAACCCTTCCTGCGTTGACGTAGAATAAGAACAGGAAAAGACTGTGCAGGACAGCAGTATGCCACAACTGTGGTTGGGAACTATGTGTTATAACCCTTTATTTTGCATATGTAAATAAGGCAAAGCACAATGTTAAATTATTTTGTGTGTGTGTTGTTAAATGTGTATAAGTACTTTCACGACTGAAGATCAGGTCGCATTTTTAATCTACACAGAAATCCACACAATGTAATAACATACAAAAAAATAACATGATTATAAATGCAAGGATTCTTTTTTTTTTAATTTGCAATCCTTTGCAGTCAATGACTACCTGAAGTCTGGAACCTATGGACATCACCAAATGCTGAGTTCCCTCCCTTGAGATGCTTTGCCAGGCCTTTACTGCAGCTGTCTTCAGTTGCTGCTTGCTTGTGGGTCTTTCAGCCTTCGATTTGTCTTCAGTAAGTGAAGAGCATGCTCAACTGGTTGAAGTCAGGTGACTGACTCAGCCATTGAAGAACATTCAATTTCTTTTCTTTAAGAAGCTGTTGGGTTGCTTTCCTAGTACGTTTTGAGTCATGATCCATTGAACTGAGAAGTGCTGTCCTATCAGTTTTGCAACATTTGACAGAGCTTAAGCAGAAATTATAGCTCTATATACTTCAGAATCATCCTGCCACTTCTATCAGCAGTCACAAATTGTTGATTTGGCCACTCCTAACATTTCTGCTATCTCTCTGATAGGTTTGCCTTGTTTTTTCGGCCTAATGATGACTAATACTTTTATATCCTTAATTTGTCATGAAATAATGAGGGACAGACCAAACCTGGCCATGAAACTGTTTATCAGTCAAAAGTCCAATTACTTTTTAACCTGTCAAAATGGAAGGACTATGTAAAAATGGCTATAATTCTTAAACGGTAATGTAATATTTGTTAAATCTCTCAAATTAAAGCTGAAAGTCTACACTTCAGTCACATCTTGCTTCATATCAAGTCTACTGTGGTGGTAAAACAGAGGTAAAATTATAAAAATTGTATCACTATCCAAATACTTATGGACCTGGCTTTATGTAATCATTTCAAATGAACTCTGACTCATATAAACAGAGAGACAAACCTCTCAAGGTGGGCGTATTATGATTTGTTAGTGGTTTGAACCTCAAAGCTTACTGTACACAGCAGGTAAAAACAGCATTAAGCTGCAGGTTAAATGCTGATGCTAGTCACAATGCAACAGAGAATTAAACACTCTATCCGTAGTGAAATGACTGTAATGCAGAATTAAGTCTCAAATGGTTTAATGCTTTTATAAAGCACCCACAAACAATACACAATATAATACAGTGTTCAGTAAGAAATAATATTGTGTTAATGATCACAGAAAACAAGATTAACATAAAGCCATGATTGACAAGCCCACACTAACACATAAAGCCAACCAACACTGCAACACCTTTTATTATAAAGCATGCGTCCCCTCACCACAACTTTGTTCAGTGAAGCTGACTTAACAATTCAACCAGACAGCAGAAAACAAACGTCAAACCTATTTAAAGCATCCCTTCATGACAGGCATGTTAAAGAGCTGATTAGTTGGATCAGGTAGAGCAGGAAAACAGAGTTTTACAATTACCTGATGTTTGCTGTGCCTCTGTGACTGTAGAATTCAACTCTGTGTGGAAAACAATGATTGAATTAGTTACTTCGAAAAGTGAATCAATGATGTATAACTGGTCCAGCTGGAATAAAAATCCTGTGTTATTTCCAAACACATGAAAAAATGTTTACAGACCATTTATATCTTACCTTTGATGGTTTATGCATGGAAGAAGATATTTTGTAGTAACTTTTGTGGTAAAAGAACACCAAATTCACAGACCAAAAACATAGCAACTTTTTTAACACAAACTGACATTTTGTAATTTTTTTTGGCTTTGGAAATGGGTAGAAAATGACACTCTGTTGGGTCTTGATTTTTATGCATCTTGGCACATCTTTTGACCACAGCTGGAGCTTTAAATTCAAAACACTAGGCACACTGGCGCGCCGATAAAGAACTAAAAGCTTGATAGCAACGACTGTTGAGCAGTGGTTGGAGGATTAAGAAAATAAGTCTTGAGATAAATTTAACTGTAGTTCAGAACAAGTGAATGCTAACTGACGAATGAATGCAACTCCAGTTTAGCTATTGTTATTTAGTTAACTTGCGAGCTGACAAGTTAGCCAGATAATGACCCACACGCTTGTGTGCAAGTTTATCAATTAACTACTTCTGAACTGTGTATGTACTAGTGTTGTAGTACTGATATAGAATCCAATGAAGTATACTGTGCCAGGCAGCTGAGCCCTAATCACCAACGAGAGCCCCAATAGGCTGCGTGAGGACTGAGTCCCACCTCCTGCTACAACATGATGTTTGACCCTGGTGGTCATGCTGTAGAGAGGGTGAAGGTGATATGGAGGTGGAGCAACAAGATCTCTCACTCTAGGTTCAGGTGCTCCCCTTAAAGCGAGCCAGTTGAGGATGCTTTGGCTTTGGCAGCGCAAGTGTCTTTGAAGAGGGCAGATAAAGGGAGAAAGACATACAGACAGTCAGCAGAAAGAAGAGACTGCTGGAAAAGTGTGCTAGAAAAATCTGACTTGAGTAAAGGCAGTGAAAAGTCTGAGTTGGTTATGTATAAGAGAAATACAGTAAATGTCCGCTGAGACCGCAATGTTCTGGACAAGAGCCAGTGAAAATCAACATGTAAATGAGTTCAGACATATTAAAGACTCACGTTAAGTGAAGCTCTGTTCGGCTGCCAAAAACATATGAAAAACAAAGAAATAAACCCAAAGTTCTCTGAAACAGAGCTATCAATTTTAAGAGAAGACGTGCCAACAAAAACAGTCTACATAAATAATTTATTAAAGATCCTTCCAACTTTTAATCAAGAAACAAGGTTTATCAGAAAATGTTTTTACGCTAACAAAAATGAAATTTACAAACAAAAAATCTGACTAGAACATCTTAAAATTCAAATTTTAATTGAAGGAATTTTATTTTAGCATGCACAATTTAATTTTTCTATTTAAACAATTATAATAATAATAATGATAATAATAATAATAACAAAACCCCTTTTCCAATTCATTGTAATTACAGCAGTAATTTTTACTAACATAAATGAAAGTAACATGGTATTTTTATTACAATTACAATTTCAAATGGACATGCTAAAATTCTAATTGCTATGGCAAGCTATTTTAGTTTTTATTTCCTATTTTTATTGACCTCAGTAATTCAATTTACACATGAGAAAATTCAATTTCAACTAGTAAATATTTCATTATTGATATCAGAAATATGATTTGCACATGTAAAAACATGTTTTTTACTTGTAAGAAATTATTTTTTACTAGTAAATAAGTAATCACATGTATAAATTGCAAGTTATTTTGTAAAATCCATTGCAAATTGAAAAATACTACTAAATCCTTAAACTGCTTCCAGCAAAATCAATTTGAACATGTAGAATCTCAACATGTCAAATTACTCTTTAATTGTATCAATTTAAATCAATTTATTTGGATTAGAAGCTAAAGCCACTTTCTACACACTGGAAGGATTTCAGAAACAACAACTGTGATGCAGAAAGTAGGGGCTGTTTTAAATCAGAGCGCCAGTAAGTCTGCTAAACTGAAATCCTGCTCAAGTCTTTTTTTTCTCCTCTGTACTCCTACAACTATGGCTAGGTTTGTCGTGCTGCTCTGTCCAAACAGATCAAAACGTATATTTTAAATATATTGGTTAATAATAGCTGAGTGTGTCTATGTGCGTTTTGTTGCAGGTGAGATCAAACCCGCTTAGAAATATGGGAGAAAGTATCATTTAATCCACATCGGTTTCTTACCAGGGATATTACTGTCAGAGTGGTCCAGGTGTTGTTTTTTCTGAGATTGTCCCATGTTATGAATCGATAACATTATATTGAAATGAGATAATAGTGTGACCACGACTCATATTGCACAAGTGGTAAGACGTGCCAGTAATCCTGTTCATTAATGTGCAAACACGTTACTGCCACGCTATTTACTCTTACGGTCACAGTAAACCTGGTGGTTTATTGTATGAAGCACAGATCTGACCCTAGGGTGGTTAAACTTCTGCATACACTGCAAAATGTGGATTTGTACTCACCCACTGATTGCTGTGTCCTGTTAGAATGTGGTCTTCTGGTGAAGCATCCTGTGCAAAGGTAAAAGGTTAGAGTTGAAAGTGTTGACTAGCCAGTGGAAGCAGTAACCTAGACATTTCAGGGAGGGATCTGGCCTTTTACAACAAAGGGAGAGATGTGCTGGGGTACATATCAAATTCCAGAGGTAAGGCTACAATCTGTGAATTAATACAAGCAAATAAATAAAACACTTGTGGCCACAGTAATTCATTCATTTATTTTTGCTAAAATTGGGAAAGAAAGAACTGTGGCTACAAGTGTTTCATCCATTAAAAAAACAGTACAGTAAAAGATTACAGTACAGAAAGAATCTTGGTTTAAGCAAACTTTGTTCTGAAGGTTTCCTATTTTAAATGCTACTTTCAAATTTTATGTTTAAAATTAACACTGAAAAACTGCCTGACAAGTACTTGTTGTAAGTCTTATGCTTTATAGTTTTAAATGTGTACGGTATATTTTAAAGGTGTGGTGTAATTAATCTTGAAAAAAGGTTTGTCTGTTAACATGAACCAGTTCAAAGCTATATGCAGTCAACAAAAAGTACATGCTAGACAAATTGTTGAGAAAAGCAGTGGATACAACACAAGAGCTGATCTTTAGTAAAAGTGCTGTTATTATCAAGTATAACACAGATAAGCCGGGGTGTCAGAAAAC